CTCGTCCTCCCCCGCGCAGCGCCCGCTCGGCCCGAGCGGGGCGTCCGCGGGGCCCTGGCTCGCGCACCTGCCGGGCGGGGCGGACGTGGGCTTCAACCATACGGGGCCGGGCTGCCGGGTCCTGCCGGAGGACGCGGAGAAGTTCCCTCCTACCTCCACCTCCCCGTGACTGCAAGGACTTGCTTCCTTTAACTGTCTTGGTGACAGGGCTCTGTGCATTATGATCTTAGCCACTCCGGGTCGGGACCGTGCATTTCCTCTTTCATAGGACTTTCTCTTACTTTGGAGCTTCATGGCAAACCTGTGGGGGAAGTCAGGGCAGCTAATCCCAGTGCATAGAGGAGGCAGCCGAGACCAGGCACGGATATTAAATGCTTTGCTGAAGGTTGTACAGGGCGAGAACCCTAATCCCTCTGTCTGTCAAGTACGCTTTCTTTCCGTTACACCCTCAACACGATTTCCCGAGCGGATGGTGTGATTACACGCAGAACCTATTCCCTGCACATTCGCAGTGGGTTTGTGTTGATGGACTGATTCCTTCTACTTTTCCAGTTGCTCTATACTTGATCGTGAATTAACAGCCAAGATAGGAGAAAAGTTCCTGTTTGTAGAATAAATTTCAGAAATTCAACACCTTCTTTCACGTTGTTTTCTTGAAAGAACCCCTAAAAACTTTTTTAAAAAATAACCTTATGTACAAATCAACTATGCTAAACGTTTCTAGAACAACTAATGACACTCAGTTTTTACAGTGTGCTAGCTTTATATATATTGTCTCATTTAATCATCACCACTCTAGGAGGCTGGCACTCCTACTTTCATTTTACAACTGAAAAACTGAAACTTAGGAAAGTAGCATTGCTCAGGCTATTTATCTACTAAACGTGACCGATTTCTATTTCTGATTTTTCAGTCAAATAGACGGGATAAAGAATGAGTGTAAGTATAAATCAAAATAAAAGGAAAAGGTAACAGGAGAGAAGTAAGGGTTTAAAACTAGGGAGAGTTTACACTGAGGATAGCATTGAAGAGGGGTTTGGGGGAATAGTTAGGATGCAGACAGAGGAGAGGAAGGGCTTGTTGGATTGAGGGCAGAGAGCCTGCAAAGGACCGTGGGAAAGGAGGTATCCCTTCAGTTTGCAAAGTGTTGAAGGATATGTTAAGGTCAACCAGTGGAGGATCTTGTGTGACAGGGTGAGAAACTTAAATATTTTTCTGTTTGTAAAGAGGAGATGCTGACATTCTTTGAGAAGAGGACCCAAATGTGATAGAATAAAATAAACCTGGTAGCAGAATATAAGATGGTCTGCAGATGTAGAAGTAACGTACAAGTAAGGTGGCTGTGCTTGGAATGGAAAAGGACATCAGCTTGATTTGACTATTTACTGGATGTAGGTTTCAAAGTGGAAATAGGGAACATTTTGATAGGGAGGATCAGTGACTTCAGTTTTGACCCTTCTAACCTGTAATTGCAGGAACTCCTAATACAGCAGTCAAGAAGATAGTTAAAATGCATTAACTAGAGTTAACGGTTTTGGGTGTCACTAGTATAGAAGCAATAGTTGAGGCTTCAGGATTGGATGAATTTGTCATTATTCTGAATTAAATTATAGCAAATTTACAAGTTAATAGTACATTGAAGGATATGTTTTAGTCACCCAATTTGGAACACGTAGCACTTGCTGTTACGAGAATATTAAAGCAGTATAAGGAATTTGACACCTTTTTCTCTCATCTTTGTAAAATGATTTTCGAAACAGATATGGGAAAGCAGAACTACCAAAAGGAGTGATGATTGGTGATCTGATGATCAATCTGGATGTTAGTTCTCATGCCTCAGGACATCTGGGAACACCACACCAGCTCCTGGGATCAGACTTTCATCCACTTAATACTCCTCTTTGCCTGAACTACTAAAGGCAGTCTTAGCTAACCACAAATGGCTACGCAAAGGAAACACTTGGTGAAAGATTTCAATCCTTACATTACCTGCTATATCTGTAAAGGGTATCTGATCAAGCCAACTACAGTGACGGAATGCCTCCATACCTGTAAGTATTATGTTATCTACTCATCAAAAGTTGTACCTATGTTTGTTCGTTTTAAACTACCGTGTTTTGTTTTTATCTAGATTTTAACTTTAAAAAAATGAGTATTGTAAGAATTATCTTAATTTTGAATTAGTTTTCAGAAGTATTTGTCATTGGGATACCAGTGGCATGAAGTTTTTCTGTTATTTGAATGTCAGTAGTTGACTTTTGCCAGATTGTAAAATGTTCTAAAAATGAGCGTATTATCAGTTGTAGTTTTTTAAAAGTGAACTATTTCTGGTTTTTTATTCTTAAAAAGTTATATTGAAGGAATTAATCTGTTCAGGTTTTGTTAGGATATACATACTTTAATGATTCCTAGACCAACAGCATCAGTGTCAACGTCACCTGGGAACTTGTTAGAAATGCATTTTATCAGGCCCCATCCTAGACTTACTGAATCAGAAGCTCTGGGAGTGGGACCAGCAATTTGTATTTTAATAAGCCCTCCAGCTGATTCCGAAGCATGCTCAAGGTTGAGAATCACTCTTCTGATATCATATCCATGGAACGCCTAACAAGTATCATTCTCACTTGTCTCATCAGAAGAAAAAGACATTTTTATAGCCATTTATGCCATGTTTACACATACCTTTTGTGTTTCTGCTAGTACAGTTTCTTTTTCTTATTTCACTGAAAGTAATTCTAGTAAGTTCTTGTTTAAGGCCTATTATGTGCACCAAAGTAGATATTTTACATACTTGGCTTCATTTGAGCTTTATAATAACCTTGGAGCACTTTGGAGTGGATGGGGGCAGGGTCAGTACAGAGAGAGGGTATGGAGGTTATCTTCTTTTTATGGGTGTGGAAACTAAGAGTTAAATAACTTGTCCAGTCTCACAGCTAATGAGTGGTGGACCTGTATTCAACTCCAAAGCCTGTGCTGTGTCTAATATAACATGGTGCTTTTTTTTTTTAAGTAAACCTTCTCTTTTAGGTATTTTCTCTCTGCTGAACTGACGTATCATACCAGTAGTTTTAAACAGTGCTGCAAAATAGAATCACCTGGAAATGGTTTCAATGGCAAATTTTGTTACATATATTTTCCCATAATAAAAAAGATAGAATCACTTGGGAAGTTGTTTAAATATCACATGCTCAGAACCCTACCAGTGGAAATATGGGGGGTCTTGTGGCAAGGTCTGGGCTTGTGTATGTTGGAAAATCTTCCCACGTGATGCTAATTTATAATCCTTTGGAGTATTACTGGCCCATGCTGTCCAATTACCAATTTACTATGAACTGTCTTGTATGATTAATTTGCTCTTGCCTAGTGTTGTTATTTAAATTGAACAGTTAATAATTAACAGGTCTTGGCACAGAAGTTATAGCAGTGTAAAAGACAGTCAAAAATCTCTGCTCAAGAAGTTTACATTCTAGTGGGGAAACTAATAATAAATATATACCATGTTAGTGATAAATGCTATAAGAGTAACAAAGCAAGATTGTAGATAGGAGAGATGAGGTTGTTTTATATAGAGTGTCAGGGACAGCCTTTTTGATATGATGACATTTGAGCAGAAACCTGAAGGGATTGAGTTCTGTGGATATATGGAAAGAGCATTCTAGGCAGAGGGAAGAGAAAGAGACTTGAAGTGGGAATATGCTTGGCAGGTTGAAAGAACAGCAAATCAGTCAGAAGGGTATCACTGTAGGTCAGCTAAAAGATTATAAGGCCCTCAATCAAGGTAATAAGATGTGAGATGGACATGGTGAAGGGTGGTTGGATTGTGGATGCATTTTGGAGGAAGAGTCTATAGAAGTGGCTACTCTAGAGTGGGGATTCATCCTATACTTCCATGTTTCCCATTGCACCAGGCGTGGTACCTGGACATGGTCCTCAATCTGTTTTGTGTTGTTTTTTCTAACATTTGCACATTGTTTTGTATCAAAAACTACCAACTCTGGAAGATGAGAAGAAGGCACAAGTTCTCCAGTTTCTGTCTATATACTACAATTTTACATATGTCTTCCAGAAGAAATTTTTCTTTGGGTCATGATGAAATCCCAATTTAAATGTCACTTTTTCCTGAAGAAAAACAAAAGATTCTAAAAGTACAAACAATTAGTTTATAAGCAAAGATTATTTTTTTTATGTTCTTAGCAGCAATTTAAAGCCCAAAAGGGTAAATGACAGCTTAACTGCACAAGTCATTCTGGCCTGAAAGATCCCATGTCAGTCATCAAGCCCCTTTAATGAGAGAGAATGAACATGGCAGAAGTGTGATTAAATGCAATGCTAAATCACAAATGTGGCCTTTATCATCAATGGAAAACACAGAACAGTTGAGTAAATGATGGCATCAGGTACTCAACCCAGTGTCTGTGGAGATCTGAGGATTATATATCACTAATCTTTATGCACTCTCAACTCCTTGGATTTCTATTTTTTGTTGTTGTTGTTTGTATTTGTATGGAGGCTTATGGGCAAAAACTATCCCACTTGCAAAGTGTCCCCTTATTTGTATTGATAACATAAATAGTACCACAAAGCAGTGTTCCTCAGCCATTGATTGGGTTTTTAATGTGTGGTGATACTGAGTTTTGTCTCTTCTACCAGGTTTTCTCATGTATAATATAGGACAGATATTGTGGTACTGTAATTTGTGATAAAATTAAGCAAGCTGGCCAAATGGGAAAGGTAGAAAGTGAGAAATGTTAATATTGTGGTACCCCATAATATTTTAGATCTTGATTTAGTCCTATAAAAAGAATATCTTATTAAAATAACTTCAAAAAGACTACTATCTTATGGTATTATCAGTAAAGAATAAGTTAAGAATGATTAAGCACTAGTACTTATTACGAAAACTCATAAGAAGATATAAGATGTTGGTCTTACTATTCAAGTTTGAAATATATAAATGAAGCTTCATTATTGGTGAGCAAAACCAGAAATGGAGTCTGCTCTCTGGACTGTTTGCTCAAGTGAAGAAAGAGTAATCAAGTTAAGAAATGTATAAGATAAATTCAGATGCCGATGATAAATGCAATGTATAAGATAATGGCGCAGGGTGATATAATAGCAGGTAACCGTCAGGATATTGGAGGAGAATGGAGTGCAAAAGAAGGACTAGAATGTTTTCTGAAATTCCAAAAGCCACAAGCCCTAGGCCTTCTCAAACGAGGACAGTAGCCTCTGGGCCTGGCTTCAGCGGAGGTGCAGAGGGCTGCATTGGGGTGGGTGATAGGGATCATTAGTAGCTCTCCCTGCTTTGACATGGATGAACAAAGTTACTTCAGTCTTCTTCCAAATTACTGTACAAATGCATTTCAACTCTTCCTCTCACCTCCTCAGACCAGATAGGTTGCTACTCTCCCATTCTCCTCCCTTCCCGAGCTAATGATGTTTGGCTGCCCTGTGGATATAGAAGGAAGGGCCAAAAGGTGAGCGGGATGGCTGACTGAAGCACTCCAGCTATGTGGAAGAAAGAGAAAGGGGGAAGCAGAGATGGGGGGGCAACCTGTGTCCCAGGCTTCTGGCAAGGAAATGCAAAAAAAGGGTCATAAAAAACACATCTCTGGTATTCTCATACTTCACCCACTAATACCACTTCCCTTCAGTAGGCCACGGATTTTTGACAAATAGATAAAATTTAAAAATTGATTAAAATTTTCAAACAAATTAGTTTTAGCTTTAAACGATCACTTAATGCTAGATGAACTAAATCTTTATTAACCATGGTTACATGTCTGTGAGGTCATTTTAATAACCTGACAAACCTAAGGAGATAACTGTGTTCATACAAATAATTATTGGGTTGTTTAAAATAAATAATTAGATGTCAGGCACTTTACTAGACACTGGGAGTGGAGTGGTAAATAAGATAAATTTGGAACTTAGACTCTATTGAGAAACTTCTCACAAGTCAAGAAGAAATTTCCAACACATGTATTTGGATGTATCTTTTTCTTTTCTGTGTGAACTCATCTACTCTGAGACTTCAGCTACCTATGCTGATGTCTCCTAGATCTTTATTTCTGGCTCAGATCTTTCTCTCAGCTTCGGAATCCTACTGGATGTCCACTTAGATGTCCTAAAGCCACCTGGAACTCAGCATGTCTAGGAATGAATGAATGGGATGCCAACACTCACTTGTCCAAGAAATATGCTGCATGCTTGACTCCTTTACTCTCACTATCAAAACTATGACAAAGTCCTGTCTAGTTTCTCTGTTTAATATTTCTCAAATCTATCTCTTCAATTCTATCCCCTTGCTACTGTTCTTGATCAGGCTCTCATTACTTCTCACCAAAGGTACTGCAGCACATTCTTAACATGTGTCAGAGTGGCATTAATTAAAAATAGTTTACTGTCTTTATCACTGCCACTCTTTAGCCTACCCCAACATTTTCTATAGGTACCCTATTGCCCTCAAGATAAATTAAAGCTTCTTTGCTGTGACTGGTTTCTGCCTTCTTTCTTCCCCACCACCTAATACACACATGTGCAGATACTTGGTTCAGCTGTTGGCTCTACTTAGAATGAACCACTTCTCCTGTGTGCCAGCTAGCAGTTACTCATCCTTTAAAACTCAGCCCAAGATGTGCCACCCACCTGTTGCCATAGACAAATTTGGGTTGTGTCTCCTCAGTACCTAGTACTTGAATACTTAAAAAGCTTAAACTCATAAATGAATGGCTAATAAGTTGATTATTTTATTGTGTGTTTTTCCTTTCAAAGATTCAAATGCAGTGATAGGTAACTTGAAAGGCACTTAGACAATGTTGATTAGGAATTTAGAAAAACTGTCTTCTCGAATCTACACAGGCATTGTGTGGGTCTTTAGGTAGGAAGAGTAAGAGACTGGACTGGGGACTAGATATTGATGGTCCTAGATAAAGGGATGAGGGTGCTCCATCTCTTGCACTGAGGTCCTGAGGAACTTTTTGAAGCTGCTTAGAGTGTATTTGCTGGTGGTTGTATAGGTTATTGACTTAAAAGACTTTTTACTTAAACT